CGGACGGGGAGTTCCAACAAGCACACATCCTCATGCTGACACTCTTAAATTTCTCCTCCAGTGCACAGAAAGGAGCACCGTCTGGGGACGCCTGGACGACTTTGGTCCTAGACTCAAGATTATTTGTTTTACTGTTCAAATTCTGTCTTTTTATCACTTCACATTTTCCCTAACTCTTGCGGTATATGTCTAACTATCATCTTATTTATTTATTTATTTATTTATTTATTTATTTATTTGGAGAGATTTTTGCTCTAGGACACGTGAGCTTGCTAGAGAGAAAGAGTCAGAAAGTCAGAAATCACTCCCAGGGGGGATGGCCACATGCAATCCCTTCTCCTCCATTCTCCTCTCAGGATCTCGGGCACAAACACACAAGCACCTGGGTGTTTTAAGCTGCTGAGTCGGGGATTCAAACTGCAGTTGGCCATGTGGAAGTCTAGCAATGTAACCGTTATGTCACCTGCTGGTCCCAACAAAGTTTATTTTCTAATCTTATTAATAATGAATGACTGAAATAAATCTTGTCCAAATCAATATAAGAAAACTTGATTGTGCAGTTGTGCTCATGTGGAAATCTCAGTAGCCCCAAAGAAAGGCTGTGCTGGTGTGGATGGCACCAACACCTTCACCACGGTCCCTGCCAGGCTGGATGGAGCACGTGCACCCAATTCCTTCCTGCAGCACCCTCACTACCAAGATTCTACCTCATTTCTATATGCCTGGCAAAGAACAGATTTTTAAATGAATGAAACTGACCTTTTTTATATAATAAATATTACTTAAACTTCTTACATTTTATTGTAGCTAATCATAACACGACCCAGATAATATTTTCTTATAAATTAAAAAAAAAACAAATCACTTACAGCAAAATGAATGATGTATAGTCTTAGTCTATCTGCTCTAATGCTTATTTTAAAAAAATGCAATGATGACTTTTGTCAGACATTACTGACTCTTTATCTCATTTTGAAATATGGTCATCATTGGTTTCAAGGATATTGTTTAGTTGGTTGCTAAGTTTACAATGGTCCAAATGAAAACAGTTGTTTTTTTTTTTTGTTTTACTGTAGTTTGCTATAGGGCACGTGTGCTTCTTGGGGCTGGAGAGTAAAAAATAACCATCTTGGGGGATGGCCATGTTGCAATCCCTTCTCTATTCTTCTCTCGGGATTTTGGAGACACACACACACACACACACACACACTGTGTTTTTCAAGCCACTGAAGTTCAGACTCAGTCGTGCACCTGGCTATGAGGGATCCAGCTACCTTAACCTCCATGCCACCTACTGGCCCCACGAAAGGAAAACTTCAAAAGTTTTCATCTAAATACTGAAATGAGCAAGAATGAGAAGGTCTGACTATAAAACGAGGGCTAATTGAGTGGTATATTTTAAACAGGAGAGAAACGCAGGCCCCAGAATCGAGGCCAACTCACTTGTCTCTCCCTCGACGAACTTCATCCTGCTGCTTGGACTGGCGGCGTCGCTGTCTGGCGGACGTGGTAGAAGATGCTGACGACGTTCCAGATTCAGAGTCCTCTGAGCTTTGACCTCCAGAGCTACTGACATCAAAAAGATGCTGCTCTACAGCTGACCGGATGGTTCTTTCTAAGAGTCTGGTGTAAAAGGAAGCTATCACTCAAGCAGTCAAGTTCATCAATGATTGACTTAAAAAATATGTGCCCAAAGTTTTGGAAATATCAGTATTGCCAGTGGATGGTCTTTAGAACTGCATGAGCAAAGACTTTTGCACTGTGTGTTAAAAACAAAGCTGAAACAGACAAATTCCAATTTGATAACTCTGGTTCTTGTCTTTGTGAGTCCAGGATTACTGAAACTCTCAGAGCGAGTGTAGCAATGACTACGAGGCATTCAGGATACGAGAGTCATTTAACATAAGGCAGAATGAGGAAAGCTTTTTTACCCTCAAAGAAAAACAATGGATCTATTCTAACAAACAAAAGATTCCTCCTGATTTCATGCCAGGCATGCACAGGAAGATGGTATAGTTTGCAAAGTAAACTGGCACAAATAATTCTGTGATGTCTATTATCTATATGGAATCCCCCTAAGATAAAATTACATAAGGAATAATTCTATTTTGGGGAAAAAATGACTAGAACAATTAAAACTCGCAACAGCACGGCATAATTGTTCTGATCCTCTTTTCAGTCATCTCAGGATGTATCACTGAAGCCCTCACCCCAAACTATATTATTGAAGTTGGAAGAACTGTTTTATTTCTTTCAACATGAAGAGATCAGATAAAGCCAAGAGGCTGAAAAGAGTGTATGATAAGACATAAATGATATCATTTTTAAATCTGCAGAAGCTTTCAATGCATCTAAACTTTCTTTTATCACCATGCTGTTGAATTCTGAATAAGCTGGCATGGAAAATTCTTAATGTACACTCCTCAAAGCATTTCATTTTTCTTCATTTGAAAAAGAACCCCAAATTTATATTTTTTAAATGCTCAGGATGAGAAATAGCATTTATTTAAATAAAATGGATTTTAAGAACCTTAGAGTTTCCAAATACAGTTTTATAATTGACTCAGATATTTCATTCAAATTTTATTAAAAGTACTTTTAAGACAATGAGCATGTATAGTCTAACCTGGGCATTAGACTTTATATTTACAACTCTATGCCCCAAATCATTTAAGATTGCCTAATTACCATAGTATAGAGGAATATGAGTAAATTAAAACATACAAACAACCTGTGCCTTTTCTAAACTATATGAGACGTGTAAGAAGGAAAGGTTATTAGGAAACAAAAATGGCAGGGATATGTCGGACTTGATACAGTTTGGGAGTCTCTTTAAAAGCGACAGAGCAGGCTGGCCCTGCTGCCTCGTGGTTAAGGAAGCTGCATCCAACATGGCTGACCAAGTGGTTTGGATATTGGCCCAGCGGCACTCTGGGCACAGGCACATGCATGCCCCAAATCTGGAAAGGATGGAGAAATGACTAGGGACTGCTTCCTCTCTCTCCCTCTATCTCTGTCTCTCTGGTAAGTGCATATGCCCTCTGGCAAAATTAAAACACACACACACACACACACACACACACACACACACACAACCCTGACAGAGCTAAGGGAGGTCAAGCCTACCTTCTGGTTGCTTCCTCACTCAATATGGAAGGAAAAAAAATTCAAACCCATCCTGTGATATCCAAATTCATCCCAGTCAGTGCTTCTGGTCCTTTTCCCTTCCTCCCTATCAAATTATATCCGCCCTACATCCTACAACTGATCTTTGCTAAGAGAAGATACCCCCATAGGGCCCATTCATGTCTTAGCCAAGGATGGAAAGGTGGATGGGAAGGTCTTGGGAAAGGAGATAGTCATTCAGACACTTAGGAAGACAGCAATAATATGAGAGATAAGGTCCCAGCGTTTAGGGAGCTTACATGACTGTAAGGCAAGACAAGTGATAAGCAAACAATATAATTTTAAATATTGAGAAAGTCTCTAAAATATTGAGTACAAGATTGGAGAATGACTGTGGGTAGTCAGGGGAAGATTTTTGGATATTTTTTGTTTGTTTGTTTGTTTGTTTTTAACTGTTTAATGCTCACTGGGAAACTTTAATTTAAAAACTTTTTATGGTAATGTGAAAAAATAAATAATTAGGAATCCACGTACTCGAACACATCTTCAACTATTACCAATATTTGAGCAACTTTGTCTCATCTAACCTTATCTATATTCTTTTTATTAAATCATTGGTAGTACTATTGTTATTTTGCTATTTTGAAGCAAATCCCTGACATCATTTTAAAGAATTATGCCACAGGGTACATGCATGTGCATGAGAGAGAAAAACAAAGAGAAAGAGAGGAGAGGGAGAGAGAGCGAGAAAGCACTGTCCATTGGGAACTGGTCACGCCATAATCCTTTTACCTCCAGTGCTCCATCATGTCGGCATCCAGGGCTGGGATTTGAAACCTGGTGGGCCATGTGTGATTCGGCTTTCTCTGCACAGTGCTTAACTGCTGTGCTACAGAGCCAGTCCCATCTTATTTTTTCACCTGTAAATACTCTGGTTTGCTTCTCTTACAGAAGAGACTTAAACCATTTAAAATCACAATGCCATTACATACTGATATAACTATCAGACAGAGTGAAGGATCGAACTGGCTAGGCTGAGAAACAGCCAGCAGGAAGGCTTTGAGACTTACTCCAGTGGGGCTGAAGGCTAATGAGCAATGTGACCAGAGAGATAGGCGAGGGCAGATGACCGGAGTTTGGATGGAGTCTAAGGGCAAGTGGATGCCTTTGGAAGAAAGAGGCACAGGATGGACATAATTAATAGAGCAGAGCCCGTCCCTGCCCCAGCGGAGAAAAATGGACTTGTTGCCATCAGTAATCTGTCCTCTTTTTTGCATCCCCATTAGACTATAAAATCTGTGACAGCAGAGGCCAAGGCTTACTTGACCTTACATATTTGATACTAAGTGGTACATTGCAAGCACTTGATAAACACAAGCTCAGTAAAATATGGTAGGCAGTAAACACATGGCTAATCCTTGAACCCTTAATTATATTCTCCATTGCAAACTCCCTTACAGAGCAGAGACTGCTTTGCAGATATTGACTTTGATATTATTTTTAATGAAGTAAATCCAAAGTTCGTGCTTTCTTTCTTTCTTTTTCTTTTTAAAGAATTATTTTTATTTAACTTTACTTACTTACTTACTTATTTATTTATTTAAATATGACCAGAGAGGGACAGGGCAAGAGAGAGAGAGCGAAAGTGAGAAAACAGGCCCCCAGGTCCAGGACTCGAACTGTGGTTAACCATGTGGGAGTCCAGCGCCTTAACCACCATGCCACCTTTCTTCTTTTCTTTTTAAAAAAATTTGCTCTAGGGAATGTGTGCTCAATCAGAGACAGAGAGAGAGAGAAAGTAAGAAAGCACTCCCCAGAGAGATGGCCATGCCATGACCTCCTGCACTCTGCTCGGGATTTTGGGTGCACATGCATATCCATGCACCTGGTGTGTTATTTTAAAGTCACTGGATCTGGGATTCAAACCACACAGTCAGCCATATGGGATCCAGCTGCCTTAAGCACCATGCCATTGGCTGGGCCCCAAAAGCTCCTATTTTCAAAGGGTGGAGTTGATGCTCGTCACAGCACACACAGGGTTCAGTTCTTTTTTAGCCCTCTCCTGCTTAGGAAGTTAGCTCAAAGTTGCTGGTGGCTTATCAGCTCAGTCTTCCAACGCTGTCACCATTAGAATTGCGTTTTTGTTTAATGAATGAGAAAGGGCATAGAAAAACGAAAACCACAAAAGTCCAACCCAAATAACTTACTCTCCAGTTGTCGACACACTGCTGACTTGGGAAACATGAGCACTGCAGAAAAGAGAAGGAACGTCAGGTTAGGCAAAGGATCTGAGAGGGTGACCCAAACATCAGAGGGGACCATAGGCTGGAAGGAGCAGGTCCCAAGTGACCCCTGTCCACTGACAGATGCTTATTTTCATTTGTTTCTAGAAACGGGCTGCTTATTCCTGAGCAGTGACTTTTCTCCTTTGGGAAGAGGTCCATGGCAAACCATGTCCTAGCTGACCTCAGACTATCGCCTCCTAGCTCTCACCCTAATGCCACAACCCAAGTTCAGGGCCTTTCCATTTTCCTAAAATGTTAATGCAATCACTACTGACCACCCTCCACCCTCCGCTGTTTCCTGCTCTCACCAGCCCAAATCCATTCTACCCCAAACTCTTTTCTCCCAGGCCTACAGACAGAAGCATCTTTCTAGAACTCTGCTCTGAACTGTGTAGAGCAGCGGTCCTCAATCTCGGGGCCATGGACCAGCACCAGTCTTCATAATAACAAAAATGAAGCGCACAATAAATGTATAACGTGCTTGAATCATCCTGAAACCATTCTCTGATCCCTTTCCCACCACCAACCCCCAAGTCCATGGACAAATTGTCTTCCACAAAACCAGCCCCTGGTGCCAAAAATGTTGGGGATCACTGGTGTAGAGGCCATCAGGGGCCATGAGATACAGAGAGCAGGGAATGAATACTGGTCTTCCCGTGATTATTTCTAAATCATCTTTTCTTTTTTCCCCCTAGTCTGTCTGTTGCAGGGCATGCACATTTGCTGGAGAGGGAGAGAGAGGGAGGGAGAGAAAGAGAGAGAAAGTAAGAAATCACCCCCCACTCTTCCCAGGGAGGAAGGTCATGCCACAAGCCCTTCTCCTCCCTTTTCCTCTGGGGATTCTGGGCACATCTGCACGCGTGCCCGATGTGTTTATCAAGCTATCAGGTCTGGGATCAGAACCATGCAGTTGACCATGTGGGATTCAGCTACCTTCACCACTACGCCACTGGCTGGCCCAAATTTTACCTAGTAGTTGTAATAGTTCTTTTTTCTTTCTTCTCTGTAGAAGACACTCAAAGAAAATCTAAGCTGTTAATGATCAAGATTGATATTGGGTTGTCAGAAAGTCATGATGTTTTCTTCTATGTTTTCCTATGGAAAAGTGTGTCACGACTTCCGACAACCCAATAGTTGCTACTCTGTGACTTGGAACGTTTAAATTCGCTGCTTTGGAACCATCCCTCAGCTTTCTCTCCCATGAAGAATAGAGCTCATCTCCGTCAGCATCTCAGTGCCTTAAGGGATTGCATCCAGTGTTTATGGTCTTTCAGCACACTCCCGATCACTACCACCGCCATACACTAGGCAGAGTATTTATCATCCCAGAGGTGATCAACAAACACTTCCTCTTCAGCCCCAGACAATGTCTTTTAGCTAAAGCTGTAGCTCTTTGTCCCAGCCACAGACCATAGCTGCAGCCCAGAAAAATGCCATAAAATCGTGCTATTGTGCAAAACAGAAACTGATGGGAAGAATCATACACTCAACTAGAAAAAAAATATATATACATTTAAGAAACATCATAACCCTTATTGAGACCTCACTGTGTTTCAGATATTCTGCTAAGTATTTTTTCCATGGGACCAGCAGATGGCAAAATGACTATGTCATTGGACTCCCATGCAGTCGACCATGGTTTGAGTCCCAGACCTGGCGGCTTAAACTCAGCTGGGCACGTGTGCGTGTGTGCCCAAGATCCAGAGAGGAGAATGGAGGAAAAGGGATTGCGGTGTGGCTATCCCTCCTGAGAGGTGATTTATCACTTTCTGTCTCTCTCTGTCTTTCTGGCGAGTGCATGCACCCGATAGCAAAACCTCTCAAAGAAAAAAAAAAAAAGCATTTTTTTCCAGAAAGCTCCCCATTTACCGTCTACAATATCTCTATGAGGCAGGTACTACTGTTTTCCCTATTTTCAGATGAAGAGGTTAGAGAGGTTCAATAACCTGCCCACAGCGATAGAAAACCCTCTAAAAAAAAAAAAAAAAAAGCATTTTTTTCCAGAAAGCTCCCCATTTACCGTCTACAATATCTCTATGAGGCAGGTACTACTGTTTTCCCTATTTTCAGATGAAGAGGTTAGAGAGGTTCAATAACCTGCCCACAGCCATGGAGCCAAGAAACAGATGAGCTGGGATTTAAACCAAGAAAGTTTGAGCTCATAGTCTAAGCTCTTAATCACATGCAACTGCCTTTCAGTCATTACTCACTAGAAGAAATACTCATTGGAGTCATCTTTGTATATGGAAGCCTCGATTTAGGCATTTTGCTGCTTTTAGTCACCGCCATGGCTCCCCTGCCTCACAATGCCTGTTATTCACAGTGGTTCCGTGGCGACATAACCAGCATTAAATCCTTTGCTGTTCTATCCTTAACTGGAACAGGCCGTCCCTGCCTCTGATGCCTGTGGCTTACCCTCTAAAGCCAATACTGTGTAATTAACTCCTATATTCCACTCAACACAGTTACGCAACCTTGATGGGGCAGGGACCAATATGAATAATGACTCAGAGGGAAACGTAGAAGGAGGAAAAGAACGTAGATCTGCAAGATGCTAAAAAACATTCCAAAGACCTATCATTAGCTGGTCAGTCCCCACGCATCCCAGAACGAAGAGATGCATTTCTTCCCCCGTCTACGCCCTACTGATCTATTCCTTTTGTCTACTAAAGCAAGGCTGACGTTTTTATATTTCTTTTATGAAGAGAAAAGGGAGACAAAGGGAGAAAGGTGAGGAAGAAAAGGTGATGACAACAAACAAGGCCAGGCTCTGAGGTTACTGAGTCTCTAAATACGTGCTTCTTGAGCTTTCCCCAGGATCCGTGCTACACAACCACAACCCAGGTGTAAATCTAGGGAAGAGCTGAGATCCTCCAGTTCTGGTAAATTCCCCACAGATTTTGTGGATCCGTGGGAGACACTCAGAGCCAGCACGTCTCTAAATCTCTACAACTAAAATTCTCCAGAACTTCAATAACTGAGATATCACCACAGCTATATTTAAAATATTATAATCTAAGGAATATAAGTTTGATATGGAGAATTCATCCTAACCTCACTTAATAAAAGTCAACACAACAAAATGTCCAGCCCAGCTTACAGGAAAATGACCTAAGCCATCTAAATCAGTCTTAAAACCCTCTCTCAGAATATAGAAGTAAGTGGATAAATCAGCAATAAAACCAAATCATTAAATCATAGTCACTTTTGCTAGTATATTTATTAGAGGACAGATTTATGATTTTATTTTTGCTTTTAAATAGTGCTTTGGAATTTCTGGTGTATGTTACTTGTCCATAATTTCATGTTCTTTTAATAGAATTTCTATAAAGAAATATTCTGAGAAGAGAATACTTTTCCATTGGGAATTAGAAAACCAGTTCTGGGCTTGGCTTTGCAGGAAATGAGCTGAACTCACAGGTAGGTTGCTGGTTAGCTTGGCTGCTGTAGGTTGGTTATCTTTATACAGAAGATAAAAATTTTGGCTAATGATCTCTGGCTTTGTTTTATTTCTACAAATTTATAATGCCATCTCAGAATCAAATTTATTGCCCAAAAGTTTAAATTATTACAAAAAGTTTTAACCACATACTTAGTTTTATGATAAAGTCTCAGTCAAATTGATGTTTAGTGGGTATGAAATGGTTTGGTTAAGTATCTGACCACCTCTGTTAATGAATGGGACATGCTTACCAATTCACCACCACCAAGATTTCTTTTTTTTTTAGAGAGTTTCTTTTCTTTTTTTTTTTTTTTTTGCTATAACAATATTTTTAAGCATTTTTTTAATTTTCTATTATTTTATCACATATTTTAATTTGACCAGAGAATGAAAGAGAAAGAGAGAAAGGGAAAGTGAGAAAATAAGCCACCAGGTCCAGGACTCCGACTGTGGTCGGGCATGTAGGAGTCCAGTGCCTTAATTACCATGCAGCCTGCCGGCCCCAGATCAACACTATTTTACAGCAAGATTTTCTATGCCATAGAAGAGAACATCCTAAAATAAGAGAACACACAGAAAAAGAGAACACATGCTTTTTCAAGATGTCTGGGTTTTATAGATTTGAAACTTCTTTCTTTTTATACGTAGCCTTCTTTATTTCAAAGCAAGAGATCTAATTAAAGAATCACTTGTCAACCGGCATCTGTGCGTCTTATCACATGCAAATTTTCGACTAATATTGCTGAGCATAATTGGCAGAAGGGAACGTAGTTTGAGTTTTAGCTATTAGAAATAAAGACCAAAGATACTTCAGTATGTCATAGACAATATTTCAGAGCAGAGTTATAATCTATTTCAAATGACCATGTCAATAGGGTATTCAGTTAGAGCAGCATGGACAGTGTACTTGGGCACTGAAACTGACCTTAATGCTGGGGTCTACACAGAAGCTTCTTTCTTCCCATTTAAAATACTTGCTTTATCAATATTAAAAAAATGAACTCAACATAATTTTTTTTTGCAAGTCAATCAAGAGCTCTGGAAAAAAACCATGTTATTCTTAGCCATATGCAGGGGGTGGAAAAACAAGCTACATATAGATAAAGGAAAGCTAGCCTTCACTTTATCATTTTTGCTTATTGGTAAATGCCTATTTGTCTAGATTGTTTCTATAGCATGTGTGCACCCACCAGGGGAGACAGGAGAGACAGGGAGAGTGGGAATGTGAGAAATCACCCCTCATGGGAGGTGGTCATGCCGCAATACCTTCTCCTCCATTCTCCTCTCGTTATTTGGGGCACATAGCATGCACCTGCCCCTGGTGCATTTTGCAAGCTGCCAGGTCTGGGGCTTGAACCTACTAGTCAGCCATGTAGGATCCAGTGCCTTCACCATGCCACCTGCTGTCCCACTTATTGCCTTTTTTTTCAGTATGTGTCTTCCATGAATCAACTATAGCTATGGAAGTAATCTTTGTTTCTGTCATTGAATGTTCTTAGAAATCTTGGGACCAGCAAATGGT